CAGCCACTGTGCAACTTCATGGGGCATTTATATTTACCACGATATGAATAGTGGCCCCTTGGTGGATTCCCAGCATTTAGAGGTGATTTAAACCATGAATGGGAATAAGATCACTCAAGAAGTAAGTATAAATAGACTTGGGGAAGAAGTGAAAAACAAAGCCACAGAAATAGCCCAGGGCCCAGCTCTTTTCTGTGATGTTCTGGCAACAGTATATAAGGCTTCATTCTTTAGGATTGTCTCTTCCCTCCAGCTCTTCCCAGACAAAGTTAATTTAGTACTGATATAAGCCCACCAAGAGGCTGGGGAAAGCTGGTTTGATCTTCAAGGCAAAGTATGATTCATGTTTTGCATGACATTTGCCCTTCCAGCTTGCCCTTCTACCTATGAGAGATAATCACAGAATATAGTCTTTGAGCCAGTTTCTCTGGGCTCTACTAGCCTTCCATAGTCTAACACTCAAAGGATTGTTCTGACATCTGAGGGATTTCTTTGTATCTCGGTTACTGGGCTTTCTAAATCTGCCAGAGAGATAGCCCAACTTATAAGCATAGATCTAGATGTTCTGAAACATTTGGATAGAATCACTTCCTATTTTTCAAATTGACTCTGGCACTGACCTGGAAGGGTCACCCATCCCTTTGCTTCACCTTTCCAGTTCTGATTTCTAGAGACTTAGTGAAATGTTTTTCCTCCTTTACCCACAGTTCTCAAGGCAGAGTTCCTGGAGATGAGAGTTGAGGCCTCCGGTATGTAGTCTCCACTCCTGATTATAGAACCTTGTAATATGTAAGCCTTCTTTGTGGGATCTGAGCTTTCGAGAACTAAAATGTCTTGTGGGTCCAGAGGGTAGGAACACACTCCATGTCTCAGTTCATTAACCTGTAATTATGTGACCATTAAACTTACTGCCTTCCAATTCTGAGGTTCTCTGTGTTTTCAAGTCTTTCCTCTTTTCTTTCTTTCTCCCCCAACCAAATTACAGTAGTTTTACAAGTTGCCTTTGGATAAAATTCATTAGGAATCCTAAACTGGGACATTTGTGGCAAGTACATTTCGTTCTCATAACCCCAATTTCCTAATCTGTAAAATTAAAAGTTTGGAAACCTGTGACTCTGACATCCTTTGGGTTTATAAGAAAATCAGTAACCTCTCTTTTGGTATCATAGCAAGTACCATGAGTCCACATCATGGAATCAGACCAAATCACTATTTAAGTCTTATCCCCCAAACCTGTATCCTTAGTCCTTTATGATTGTTTGATGAAACTTAATAACTGTAATGAACTTTCACTTCCATTATTTGATTTGATCCATATCAAATGTCAGGATAAGGAGGATGATATGTATTTTAACTTAGCAAATAAAGGAACTGAGGTTCAGAGGGGATAAATTAACTTGCTAAGGTCACAGGAGCTACAGAGATCATATAATTTTTTTTCTCCACTTAGGAGTTCTAATTGTTTGACTGTCAGATTGCTGGCATGAATGAACCAATATACCTATAAATAAGATCTGGGTATCTGGAGAAGAACTTTCCATTTGTTCCCCAGCTTTCCTTTTCTTCCTATCACTTAACAGTCCTCAGAGGTACATGGGTCAATAAGCTTTTCCTTATTATCCCTCATGGAAGTGAAATCCCAGAAAAGCAATCTGGAGTCAGTATAGGACCATAAAGGCAGTGGCTATGTTGCGGGTGGGTAGTCAAACATGTCAGGCTTCATCTTCTGTAGACTTTTGGGGGATTAGAATTGAGGTCAAATGCACACGGTTTCCAGCCCTGATTATAGCAACATCTTAGGCCTGTTTCATGGGATCTGAGGGGGGTTTTTTTGGGGGGGGGCTGAGTTTTAAGCGTCTTTTCCTAGCCAACCTCTGTTGCTCAGAAGATTACCTACCAATTATATAATTAGCTACCTAAGAAGACAGGCCTCACTTCTCAGTGGCTGTTAAGTCTTGACCAGTCCTGACCAATTACCTACTCTCTTCTTTCCTTTTCAGGTTTTACAATCCTTGGCCTCAGAGGACCCTTCACAGGTTCTGGAAAGGTCTTCTTCAAACTCTTCTGTGCTGAGTCATTTTGTGCTGAAGAGAGCACCTCCTTCTTGGCCCTGCAACTTCAGGCTCTAGGATGCTATAAAATAAGGGGCACATATCTTAGACACAGATTTATTTCTCTTATGTATTCTGTCTTTGTTCCCTCTGAAGGTCTATATTGAGCTCCTATATGATTGTGAATGGCTAAAGTCCCTCAAGCCAGACTGTAGAAACCAAGCTATCTACTAACCTGAGTCGAAGAAAGGAGCTTAGTTTTCAACTCTTCTCTGAATTTCCTGTCTCCTCAAAAGACCATCAAACTCTGAAATATTGGGACTAAAGACCGATCTCAGAATTCTTGCCCTGAATTAAAAGCTACTTGAGTTGGGGCCATTGCTTGCCTTGGAAGTAGAAGTGTAGGAATGTTTGTCAAACATTGGTGAATCTTAACATGTCTCTTACTGAAGATAATGACCCTGGCACCAGGTTGGAGCTCTGGCACTGCAGTATATTTCCAAGAACTGTCTGCTCCTTTTGGGTCAGACAGTATGTGTGATACCAACCACAACTTCTTCATGTGAACTCAGGATGGCGGCCTTTCTGTTTTTGCATACAACCACTTAGGACAAATCCGCAAAGGATATTTTGCATGTTGAAACCTAGGTCTGTTTGGATTATTTTTCTTCCCATTTTTTCCCCAACAGCTTAATTTCTAAGAAATCAAGAAAGAAGCAAAAGCTGAGAACAGTTCTTTTAAAAAGACAGACAATATTTGTCCTGCAGAAGTTCCATTTTTGGGTCAAATACTGGGAAAAATAGTTAAGATGGATTGAGGCCAGGCAGCTGGCATGTTGCTTCATATTTGCCTTCTGCAGATAAGCTCTTTCATCTCCTCCAAGAAGCAACCCCTGGCCCAGTGTCAGTGGATTCAGAAACTCCATGAAGTTTCTGAAATGGTATGCAGAATTCCATGACAATGTGCCTTTTCTGGGGAGATGGTCCATAACATTCTACTGATTTTCAGATGGGCCTGTGACCCAATAAAGGTTAAGAACCACAGCACTTGAGATAAAAGACTTTTTACAATACATAAAGTATTTTATTGGAAGGGCCTTCCAAAATTATTTAGTCCAAGTATCTAGTTTACTATTGAAGAAACGGGCAGAGAAAATTATCAGCCATGCCTAAACAAGTCCTTAGGTCCCTGGGCTCCTGTACAAGTTTCTTTCCATTATACGATACTTGTCTAATGAGGAGCTTATGATTGGTGGCTTTAGTGGTCATCATTTTGAGTGTTTTTGGCTTTTACCCTCTATCTTGAGCCTCCCATATTCGTTATCAAGTGGAAAGCTTTCAGGCATAAGCTCCTGGTGTTCCATTTGCCTTTTCAATCATTGGAAAGCAACTAAAACACAACTGGTGCAGTGACTCAGAAATCTGAGTAGATATTTCTGATTTCTTGTTTATTGATAGGAAGCTGCTGGGGAAAGTGTCACTGCGTGTGTTCCCATGTTCTCTGGGCCATAATCCGTCTTTGGAGTCTGTGAAATTATAATATGGCCAAGTATGAGAAAAAGAGCTTTTCTACTTGGACCCTTCTAGCAAGACCCTGACTATGGAACTGAGAGAGAAGCATAGAGATGGGTGGAGGGAGGAGAAGGAGAGAAGAAAGGAGAGGGAGCCGGAGGAAGGGGAAGAGAGAGAATACACACATGCCCAAACCAACTCTGAGATGCCTTTGAAGCAGTGTTACTAAAAAATGATAGCCACTTTTAAGACTGAACTCAGTATCACCCATTGGTGAATTAGTAACATGTAGGCCTTTGTGGAAGTAATTGAGTGGAAACTTGATGCTGTTCCCAATAAAGACATGCCCAGGTGGCCATGTAAAACTCTCTCAGCTCTACCTGGTGTCAGAGTCCAAGTTAATAAGAACCAGGAGCAAGAGAGCCAAGTGATCACTATTCTACCTGAGGCTCATCTCCAAAGGAAGTTGCTGTGAGACTGCTGGCCTCACACAGGAAGTGCTTGTTGAGCCCTGTTGTCAGAGTTGTGGCCCCTCTGCTTACTCTATCCCGTTAGATAACTAATTAAAGCAAGTAAGTGTGTAGATTTTGGCCACAGAAGCAGTGGCCAATGGGGTTTCAGTACATTTGAAGATGGTAGAGACATCATTTCACTCTTGTCTCCTTGTGGAGGGGGGAGATATCATAATCGCCACTACAAATATTAAAAGATTATTGAGAACCAGAGAAAGCCACTGCAGTCCCAGTTGAATAGATGTTCCAGAAATGTGACCATGAGATTACTGTGTGTTTCCTGGGATATAGATCAAGAGCCTGGCGTAGAAAGTTGGGACCACCAGGCTGGCTGGAGACCAGGAAGCAGTGGCTGGATAGCTCTGCCCCTGCCCTGGGCTATACCCAAAGAATGCCCAGAAATGAACCTCAATACCGCCCGCTTTTGCACTCTAATTTAAAGAGAAAATCTGTGGTGAGGCACACTGTCATAGAAATGAGACTGGCCTTGCCCAGGCTTGGATGAATAGTCATTCAGAAGAGGCTATGGGAATGGGATGGTTATTGAAGAGTGACAAGTATAGGAAATTACCTGCATACGTTGGCCAGCAGGTTAGAGAAACTGGCAATGGATGAACCATAAACCTTGAACTGACAATATTTATTAAGCACCTACTAAATTCTATGTGCTTCATATACATAATCTCCTTTGTCCTTACAACAATAATGCAGGTAGATGCTATTCCCTCAGTTTACAGATAAAAGAATTATGGCACAGGAGGCTACAGTAACTGGCTCAAGGGCTCACAGAAAGTAAATAACAGGACTGTGACTCAAATCCAGGTCTTTCTGACTCTGTACTCCATGCTGTTTTCTCTTTGCCACACAGAGGCTACATTATTGGAACTGTATGACTCTGACGTTTTCTGCCTAATAAAATATTAAAAAGCAAGCATTTGAAGGGAAGTAGGGCAGGTCTAGTTTACAGGGGAACAAAAACTGGGCTGGAGGAGAGTTCCAAGTTGGGCTTTCTCCTTACCTTCTGTATACGCATGTGGTAATGTTTTTAAAAGGATCATTCAATTTTACCTTGTGAAATGAAGGATTTATTTTTTTAGTTGGTAGTTACTAAATCTTTGGCTTAGCTGTTTTTCAAAGAAAAAAATGGTACCTGTATGTGTCTATGTACTTCACTGAGGTTGTAGCGTGTGTGTTTTCAGTCCAAGAGTCTGGAGACATCCACACATACAGTTTGAGAAGGAAAAAAGGTATTGATGCCTCTCTGGTACTTAATGTCTTGGGGTCAAATCTTTACAAGGTTTTCTGTGGTGACCAAAAAATAAAAGTTTAAGAGATGATTTAGAATAAAAAAATATTATTGAAGTTTTTGCTTAAAAAAGGCAGAGAGGTTTTCCAGCCACTCAGCATCCGACTTCAGTAATAAAACAGCATCATATGGAAATACTCTAGCATTTCTAAAATAATTGGTTTTCAATGGGAAATATCCTTCCCTTTTCTAGAAGTTCCTTGATTTTGTAAAAAGTAGAATAAAGTAGTAGAGGGAGATGTATCTCTGTGACCAAAAAAAAAAAAAAAAAAAATTGCTCTCAAAAGAAAGGAGATCAATGATACTAGTTTTAACATAGCTACACTACACTACACACTACAAGCCCAAAAAGCTTCCGGAGCATTTAAAAATTGCAGAAAGAAGCAAGATAGCTTGAAGAGATGTTTTGGATGAAGAAAGGCCTTCATTTTCACAGGCAAAAGAAGCACTTGATACCAAGGACATTAATAGATGCTAGAAAGACTTCTTATGGGAAACATCAGACAAAAGAAAGAGATCCTGGGGCCCATTCATGTGACTTTCAATAAAATATGCAGACTCTCCGGTATTGATGGCGTCCATCTGCAGTTTTTTAAAGTTTTATTTAAATTCAAGTTAACATACAGTGTATTATAAGTTTCAGAGGTAGAATTTAGTGATTTATCAGTTGCATATACCCAGTTGTAATTTTTTCATGGAAAAAAAGCTTTGAGCTTATTAGACATGATGATGCAGCCACCATCTGCTCATCTCATCTTTTGCAATCCTAAGGAAACCCAGGCACAGAATCTTTTTATAACTGGGATTCTCAGTCTACAGTCTACTTTGCATCAAACCCTTGTCATTCCCTCAGGCCTCACAATATTGCTGCATGATGGTTAATAACCCCATTTTACAGATAAGGAAAGTTGTGGTTCAGGGAGATGTGAAATGACTTTGCTAAAGATCACACAGTTAAGGATTGGTAAAAATTCAGATTGGAAGCTCCAGAAGCTTTACTCTTTCTAATACATCGCATTATCCCCTTAGTAGTAAAGGAATCCTGATGGTAAATAGAGAAGATGCTTAGAAATGAGGCTGGTGGAAACAACATCCACAAGTCTTGCTACTCCGAATGTGGTCCATCATCCCCTTCAGCATCATCATTACCTGGGAGCTTGTTAGAAGCAGATTCTTGAGCACCACCACAGACATTTGTAATCAGAACCTTTATTTTAATAAGATATCTATATTTCTATGTACACTAAATTTTGAGAAGTGCTGATATAATGCATTTGAAACAAAAAAGCAAGTTGAGGAAGGAGACTTTGGGTGAGGCAAAGACCAAAAATGGTGGATAAGGCCAATCTGGTTATGTTGGGAGTGTTTACAAAGATTGTGTCCATATCTGACTGCTTCTTAGAGTGCTTTGTACATGGCCCTGTACTTCGATGACATGCAAATGAAGTTTCTCCACTTCAAAGAACAGTGAAACCAGCCTAGGAAAAAGACTGAAAATCACTTGATTTTTCAAATCTCTGGCCACTGAAGACAGTGGAAAGACCACATGCAGCAGTGGAAGGAACTCCTTTCAGAAGCCTTGGGGGGGTTCCAGATTTGCTTCTGTCACTAACTCTCTTTATGCTCAGCAAGTACCTCCCTCTCTGTAGGTCTCAAATTGTACATCATTAGTTTTGGATGTAGAGATCAATGGTTCATCAGTTGCATGTAACACCCAGTGTTCATCACATCATGTGCCCTCCTTAATGCCCATTGCCCACTTACCCCATCTTCCCACCACCTCCCCTCTAGCAATCCTCAGTTTGTTTCCAATATTTAAGAGTCTCTCATGGTTTCTCTCCCTCTCTGATTTCATCTTATTTTATTTTCCCTCCCCTCCCCTGTGATCCTCTGCACTATTCATTATATTCCACATGTGAGTGTCTTTAAACAGGATAGTCTCAAAGTTCCTTTTAAGTTTTGACATTCTCCACTGTGGGTTTTGCTACAGATTACATTTAATTAAAACATGGACAAATCTATAGGTTTTTGTCTGGCTCTAATTTGGCATCCTCAGTTCACATAAGAAGGGATATTCTGGGAGGAAATCTCAGTCACGACAAAGCAACATTAATGGGAACTGCAAGGAAGTGGGGAGGACATGACTCTAGTTAACCAGCTTGAAATTAGCTAGGAAAATTTTAAATTTGAAAACTTGGAAATTTGAGAACTAATTGCTTCAAGCCACATACTTGGGATTCAAATCTTAGATCCTAAATGGGCTTACTTTGTGTGATTTAATAAAGTACACTGCTCTGACTTGGGCTTTTAGGCGATAGTTTATTTGGGTTAGGAGGGGACATAAAAAAAGGAGAGGACTTCTACTTCTCTCCCATCTGCCACTCATCTCTACAAATGATTCTGATGTCTATTAACTGAAGACAACTGGTTATAATATAACTTCTTAATATGGGAAAACAGACCCAGAGAGGAGAAGGGACATGTCTAAGGCCACATACCAGAGACAATGGCAAGAAACAAGTGATCAAAGTTCAACTCTACTTTCTTTGGGTGACTACCCAAATCATATCTGCTTCCAGCATCAGAGCACACGCTGGGGAGGGGAGAAGCAGCTCTCCAAACCCTCAGCACTTCTGGGAAATTCTGCTTTAAGCTTTTAATTGCTTCAATCCAATTGCTTTAAAAGAGATGGACTTTTGGGGGTGCCTGAGTGGTTCATTGGGTTAAGTCTCTGCCTTCAGCTCAGGTCATGATCTCAGGGTCCTGGGATTGAGCCCCACATCGGGCTCTCTGCTCAGCAGGGAGCCTGCTTCCCCTCTCTCTGCCTGCCTCTCTGCCTACTTGTGATCTCTGTCTGTCAAATAAATAAAATCTTTTAAAAAGAGAGAGATGGACCTTTTTTTCCCTGTTGGAGAATATCCTAACAGTCTTATAACTTGAAACTACAGAGCCCTATCAGATCCATCATTTTGTACTCATAACAGCCCAAAGTTAGACAAGACGAGGCATTTTGCACCATTTGACAGATGTACAAATTGAGGCTCAGAGCATTGTATTAGTTCTCTGTTGCAGCTGTAACAGATGACTACAAATTGAGCAGCTTATAACAACATTCATTTATTCTCTCACAGTTTCTGTAGGTCTCAAGTTCAGCATAGTGTGGATGGATTCTCTTCTTAGGGTCTTGCTGAACTAAAATCAAGATAGCAGCTGGTGCTGTGGTTGTCATTTGGGGCTAAGAATCTTCTTCCAAGCTTGCTGATTATTGGCAGAAATCAGTTCCATGTTATATGGCTGAGGTCATCATTTTTTTTTTTTTGACATGTGCCCCTCTCCATATTCAAGCTAACAATGGCAGGTCAAATCTTTCTGCTTCCCCTTTTGCGTCTCTCTAACTTCTTTTGCCTCTTCTGTTAAGGGCTTACCCTTTTATTGGAGTGATTTCATTGGGCCCACACAGATAATCCAGGTTAGTCTTCCTATTTTAAAGTCAGTAGTAACCTTAATCATATTTCAGCATCTCTTTTGCCATATAATTACAGTTCTAAAGATTAGAACATAAAATATTCTTGGGGGTCATAACTTTTCTTTACATTGAAG